AAACTGCCAGGCGCGCCCCTGAGCCTGGTGCCCTGGAGATGCCTGTCATACCAAGGGAGTGGGGGAACAGTACCAGAGGGTTAGAAAAATAACCCAGTTATAGAAGGACTTTGTTACGTTCAGGAAAAGAGCTGTGTTTATCTTTCCCTCGTGGCTCAGGAGTTAGAACAGAGCCTGTGACAGAGGCTCTAGCTAGAGTAAAAAGCAGCTTTTTCCTAGTTGATTTTGCTACACAAAGTAAATACAGAAGCTTCCTTTCCTCTAGATAAGAAAACTCTGAACATTCATGTCTCTGGTTGTGGGATGTGTGTGTGTGGAATCATTCAGGCAGACAGATTGCAATCTCTCCCAGGCCCCCTTTCCACAGCCTGACCCCACAAGAGCAGCTCTTGGTTAGACAGAAAAGGGGCAGTTGGTTTTCTCCAGAGCCAAGCGCGCCGGCTTGTATCCCTGGGGAGAAGAGAAAGCCAGACCGAGGGTTGGCTCCTGCACTGCCCAGGTGCTGAGTGTTGGATGTATAAGAGCAAGGTAAAAAGTGCTGCGCAGGAGAAACACAAATCCGACACGAATGAGAGTACTGCCGCCAATCCACTCCTGGCCAATAGCAGGGATATGGCCTAAGATGGGGAGTGCAGAACTGGTGATCTCATGTGGGGCAGAGGATGCCCTGAAGGGACTAATGCAGGAAAGGGGCTTAACTTATCATTGGAGGTGTAATGTCTCCCCTTCTGCTCGCTGGCTAGAAAATCTTTATTGTTGCCTCACAGTGGGCTAAGGGTTGGGACTCCGGACAGCAAGACAATATTTCTCTGCCCCATTTCTGTACACGTGCCAGGAGAGGGCTCCCATGCTGTTTCATACATCAGAGCAATGCAATCAAGTATTTTTTATGTTTTGTTTGTTCGTTCTCTCCATTTGGCCTTCTAGGTGAGGGTGTCCTGGCGCTAGGGAAGATGGGTTCTAATCCAGGCTCCGTCACGAGCGTCCTTGGGTAAACATGTCACCTCTTTGTGCCTGCACTTCCTCCTCTGTAAGCTGGGGATAACACTTACTGTTCAGGGGAGTCCTGTTTATAAAGCGCTTTGAGTTTCTATGGTACCTTCCCTCTGAGGATCCCAAAGTATTGTCTGTATCCTAACACATTACATTGACGGGCGATGCCGCTGCTGGATAGAATATTGCTCTTACTCACGTGTGATAATGTCGTCTTGTGTCTGCAACCTACACAGTATAAAATCCCTAATACTGCTGCACAGGGTTGAATGTTTCAAGGTTCTCAATAGCTCCTTGTTCTACCCTCTGAGAAACTGGAAAATAGCATTCCTTTCTCCGCTGTTTTTCTTTTTAACTGCCCCCACCCTTTCTTATATGCTTCCTTTTTTGTGCAGCAGTCTTGGAGTCCTGGGTGATGCCAGCAGAGCTCTGAGACTAGTTTGTTAGTGAAGTGTCTGCTGTAGATCCACAAAAGCATGAAATATTGTTTTTTGCGCAGTCCTAAGGCAAAGGCATCCACAGTTTGCCCAGCTGAGCGGCTGCATTGGCCAGTTGCCAGATTGCAATTATTCTAGACTCTCAGACTTTAAGGGTAGAAAGGGACCGTCATGATCATCTAGTCTGACCACCTGCACATCGCAGGCCACAGAACCTCCCCCGCCCACTCCTGTAATAGACCCCTAACCTCTGACTGAGTTACTGATGTCCTCAAATCTTGATTTAAAGACTTCAAATCAGAGACTCCACCATTTACACTTGTTTAAACCTGCAAGTGACCCGTGCCCCGTGCTGTAGAGGAAGATGAAAAACCTCCAGGATCTTTACCAATCTGACCCAGGGGAAAATTCCTTCCCAACTCCAAATATGGAGATCAGTTAGACCGGTGGTCCCCAAACTGTGGGGTGCCGCCCCCAGGGGGACATGGAGGAACATTCAGGGGTGGGGGGAGCATAGCAGGCCTGGGCCAGCCCTCATGGGAGGTGCAGAGGGAGTGCCACCCAGCCCTGCTCTGCCCCCAGCTGCAGCTCCCAACCCCACTCCCAGCCCCGGCCCTGGCTCTGGTCCTGGGCCCAGGCCCAGGCCCGCCTCCAGCCTCAGCCCCTGCCCATGGCTGATTCCAGCTCCGGCCTCGGCCCCAGGCTGCAGCTCCGTTCCTGGTCCGGGCCCCAGACCTGCCTCCAGCCACGGCCCCAGCCTTGGCCCTCTTGCCCCTGTCGGTGTTCCCTGTCTTCTCCCTAAGCCATGGCCCCAGCTCCTGGGGGGGGGGCGCACAGACAGGGGCAAGGGGGGGTGACCCTGAAAAGTTTGGGGACCACTGAATTATACCCTGAGCATGTGGGCAAGACCCACTAGCCAGACACCTGGGAAAGAATTCTCTGTTGTGACTCAGACCCCTCCTTGTCTAGTGTCCCATCACCAGCCATTGGAGATATTTGCTGCTAGCCGTCACTGATGGGCCACATGCCATTGTAGGCGGTCTCATCACATACCATCCCTCCATAAACTAATCAAGTTCAGTCTTGAAGCCAGTTAGGTTTTTTGCCCCCCACTGCTCCCCTGGGAAGGCTATTCCAGAACTTCACTCCTCTGATGGTTAGAAACCTTCGTCTAATTTCAAGCCTAAACTTCTTGATGGCCAGTTTATATCCATTTGTTCTTGTGTCCACATTGGTGCTTAACTTAAACTTAACCCCTCTTCCTCCCTGGTATTTATCCCTCTGATGTATTTATAGAGCACAATCATATTTCCCTTCAGCTTTCTTTTGGTTAGGCTAAACAAGCCAAGCTCCTTGAGTCTCCTCTCATAAGGTAGGTTTTCCATTCCTCGGATCATGTTAGTAGCTCTTCCCTGCACCTGTTCCAGGACGGAAGCACAGCCTATGGAGGCCACGTCCTAACCTGCGCTGCCCCATCTTGCTCTGAGATGGCAGCGGGCCGTGTTTCAGAACTCTCTAGGCTGTGTGGCCATCCCCTGTCCTAATCCTAAGGCATGTAAACAGTAGGGCTTATTTCTCCCCCGCCCTCGTCTACTTCATTTTCCCAGCAAAGGAGCGATAGTCTCAAAACAAACAAACAAAAAATGTGCTTCAGAACCCAGAGTCAGTTCCTCACCAAATAAGGAAGGTGGCATTTTGGGTCTAACCTCGAGAGTGTCCCTTTAAGCAGCCGACTGCTGAGTTTGCCTTTCCAGTTCAGAGTGCTGCTCTGTTCTGAACAGAGGGATATGGTTGGTGTCTCCCTGTGTGAGCTGGAGTTTGACTGAGTTCCTGCTGGGGAGAGCCTGTATTCTGCAGATGTCTGGCGTGTGGTCCAACAGCCCATAGAAGACTGCAGGAGGAATCCAGAAGATGGGGAGTCTTACTCTTTGTTTTAACAACGCCGCTGTTGCTTTAAATTAAATTCTGCTGTTGCATTAATCCTGAAACAGAATTTTCGAGACCCCTTTATTCTCCTCCCATGCTAATCAACGAATGAGCCTGCAGCCGACCTTCCTGCTCCTGGGGACCCCGGATGAAAGGTCGGAGGATTCCAAACAGCATTCACAACTTCTGTTTTTCTTTTCCAGAACTTGCGCCCAATGGGTGATGTTTCCAGCATAGAGAGGGACTTTGGCACCCTGGCTTGTTTCCGCAGTGGGGAATCCAGTCGGGCTGCGCAGGATGGGTTTGGGTTTGGCCGTTTGATCCTATTTATACACTGGCTCTAGCCCCCATTTGTCTTCCTGACAGCTCTCCCGAATTGATGCTTGTGAACTTAATTACAGCTCTGCTCTGCAGCAGGCAGGCAGGCAGGCACGCTCTTCACTGCAGTCTGCAGGTCCTGGCAGTCAGCCCTCACACCCCACACACAACCAGGTGCACTTAGCCAATGGTGCAGTGCGCAGGACCCTCAGTGGACCCTGCCTGCTGGCTGCCTGGTAAGGGATGAAGCCCCCGGGCTGTCACTCTGCATTCTGGCCTTTGTTTGTTTTTGATCAAGGTATTTTCCACCCTGGGTGGCTTGGGCCAGCTGGTAAAAAGATGCTGCAGATTTGAGATGGATCCTGGCTGCTCCCAAGTAAGGTGGGGAGGATACTTCAAGAGACCATTTTGTGGCTGGAATGGGAAGGGTGGGGGGTGGGGCTGGGAAGTTACTCTCATTGATTAGCAGGGCGAAGTTGGCATGAAACTTGTTTGTATTTGCTTCCAAGAGCTAGTGTCTCGCCCTCAAAAGCTGTCAGTTCTAGGGGTCCAGCTGCATTGCTCAGGAAACAGTGGGGGTTGGGCTCATTCGTTTTGGAGGGATAACGTTGCTTTCCCCTCCTGGTTCCTGAACGGTGTGGTGAGTTTCCAGGAGCTTTAAACAACATTTTGCTAATCCTCTGCTGGCCAAAGCGGTGAGAAGATGCTGGACAGAATATGACTAAGGGTCCTTTCTTAAGAGGCTCCTCTGCTATTCAGAGTCTTGCAAGTGATGCATCTATTTATGATGGGTTTAAAGATGCTGGCCCGCTGGCTTGGAGATATAGTCCAACTGCAGCCCCAGGTTCTAGGGGACCTTAGGATTTTCAATGCCCTGTGATCCTGGGGCAGGTGACAGCGGGTTCTAGGCAGAGTCTGAGCAGGGGAGTACAGGCAGGATGGAAAGGCAGTTCGTGCGATGTCTGGGAACATGTCTTTGCTGTGCTAGGGCTCTCTTATGGCTCCATCTATGCGAGCGGCTGACTAGAAGGCATGTGTTTGGGCAGTGATGAAGGAGTGTCCAGAGATAAAATGGTGGCCTAAGGATTAATAGACAGAGAGATCTCCAAGGCCCTCGTTTGGCAGGGTGAAGCCAGGCCTAGGGAGTGAAGGCTGTGTTCAGAGAGCCCACACTTTGGTATCTGGGATGTGGCTGGCTCAGTTTCTGGCTGGGCAGTCCCAGGGCCAACACTCACTTTTGTTATTCCCCAAGCAGGACTGGCACAGGGCAAAAAGCCAGGGAAGCTCTTTGCATGCCCCAGCACTGAACGCTGCTCTCGTCCTTAGGCATCAATGCCCAGGCTCGGAAGCTGCAGAGGAACCGTGCAAAGGGCACCATGACCCTGCTGACGGGATGCAAGCGACACTCCACGCCACCCACCCTCCGACGCAGCGTGAGCGAGACCAGCCTCAGTCACGTGGGCTCGCCGGAGGAGGAGCAGCTCAAGAGACATTACTCCACGCTGCCCGAGACCATCCGCAGCCTGGAGAGCTCGAGGGATGAGCAGCAGGCCCCCACGGCGGAGAGGAATGGCAGCAGTGTGCGGTACTCCCTCTACCAGTCCCCTCACCTCCTACTCCTGCAGGGCTACAGCTACCAGCATGTAAGCACCCAACCTGTCACTCTGTGAGGCTTTACTTACATTGACGGTCTGTGCGCTCCCTCTACAGCCCATGCCATCAGCTCCTGACAGCCCTAGGGGAGGTGTGGGTTTTCAGACACTGAGATGCTTTATGGCGTGGCATTTGCTACTCTCCTGGAGTCCAGAGACATGCTCGGAGAGTGGGCTGCTACATCCCCTGCCCCAAGGGAAGGGGGAATCTGGCACAGAGATGCTGAGGGAAAGAACTAGCGTCTGCTAGTAACCCCGAGAGCCACTCAGGCTGACTGCAGTTGTGGCTTGCCCCTGCCGGGGGTTTTGAGAGAGAGTTGAGTTTTCTCAAACAATATTTAAGCAGATGTCTTGTCTCTTGACTTTGCTGCAAGGGCTCCTGCTTGTTTGGAGCATTGTCCAAGTTGCGTCTCTTTGGAGCCATGGCGAAACCTGCATGGCGACAGGGACAGGCGTGAGCGTCAGCTGCTCAGGTCAGCCAAGTCCTGCTTGCATCAGAGCCCAGGAATAAGGGTGGAGTGGGCACAGGCAGCCTGACATTAAGGTCTACCTAGAATATATAATATAATGGAGATATCCCATCTCCTAGAACTGGAAGGGACCTTGAAAGGTCATCGAGTCCAGCCCCCTGCCTTCACTAGCAGGACCAAGTACTGATTTTGCCCCAGATCCCCAAGTGGCCCCCTCAAGGATTGAACTCACAACCCTGGGTTTAGCAGGCCAATGCTCAAACCACTGAGCTATCCCTCCCCCCTGCTGGGTTTCCCTTTGGGAATGTCCCATAAAGCGCTAAGGTGAATGCAGTGCAAAGCCGCTGCACTGTGTAGCAGGGGTCGGCAACCTTTCAGAAGTGGTGTGCCGAGTCTTCATTTATTCACTCTAATTTAAGGTTTCGCGTGCCAGTCATACACTTTAACGTTTTTAGAAGGTCTCTTTCTATAAGTCTTTAATATATAACTAAACTATTGTTGTATGTAAAGTAAATAAGGTTTTTTAAATGTTTAAGAAGCTTCATTTAAAATTACATTAAAATGCAGAGGCCCCCGGATCGGTGGCCAGGACCCAGGCAGTGTGAGTGCCACTGAAAATCAGCTCGCGTGCTGCCTTCGGGACGCGTGCCATAGGTTGCCAACCCCTGCTGTATAGTGTGCCGTAGGGCAGCATAATAAATACCATTGGGGCTTGGCAAAGGCACTCGCCAGGGACGATCAGGGAACTTTCCTTGCAGAATTTAAGATTTTATGATTTTTTAAAAAAAGCCTTCATGCGTGTGACGAAAACCTTCCTACTGTTGGCCCACGCAGTGCCGTCTGCCTGAGTCTGCAGCCAGGCAGCCTGCAATGACCGAGAGCTCCAAGCTGCCTCCATTCGCTTCCATGGGGTGTTACCTCTGAAGCTGCTCTGTCATCGTCTGTGCCAATTTAACACCCCTGAAAGGTGATACGTAGATGGGTCATGTGGGAAATTTCTACCACTCCCCAAACCCAGCATGCACTTTGAGTACTGGCAGCGAGTAGCACTCGTCTTCCGGCTACTGACCTACTAACTGTTTTGTCAAGGGTTGAATGCCAGAGTTTGCTAAGATTTCGTGTTCTGTTCTGTTGTAACACAGATCTTATAGTCCTTGCCAGCTGGTATTGTGCTACCTCTGCTTACTATAGGGTGCACTGCGAGCCTCTAGAACAACAACTCTTGTTATCCCCATTTTACAGATAGGGAAACTGAGGCACTGAATAGTTAAGTGAGCTGCCCCTTGTTGCAGAGCAAGTGAGTGGAAAAGTTAGGAACAGAGCCTTGGTGTTCTGGTTCCCTATCCCCAGTTCTGACCACTAGATCCCACTGCCAGTGCAAGAGAGAATGGGTCCTGCTCTGTCCTCACACATGGAAGTCAGTGAAAGATGCACTTGTGTAAATGAGGGCAGACTTAGGTCCTGTGTGATTTTGTCTTAGTTGCCGCCCCTTTCTGTAGAGAAATGAGAGTGGAAGGTGGGAAAGAAAAAAGTGCTACAAAGAGCAAGTGAAACCCACTGATCTTGACCTTGGAGAGAGGGACTCTCCATTTATGTCTGAGTTCCAGAATGTCCCTGACTCCGGTTATGGAGTCACACTGAACAGTGATTTTATAGAGCAGTGATTAGTGATACAGGAACTCATTTGAGTTAACGTGAGAGTGTGCTGATGGCCAGAACCATCCTGAGAGTTGACCAACTGTATCTGAAGGGTTGATGTGTATGACTTAATGCTGTGTTAGTCCCGTAGAAGTGGGAAGAGTCAATGAAGTGAATGCCCCTTACTGTTTGCAAACTAGCAGATGATACCAGATAGCTTGGGGCAGGTCAGCTGATCTCCAGCTGTTTGCTCCCTTTGCAATGCACCCTGGGAACAGTAGTTCACTCATTCTGCATCCATATACCCAAAAAGGCGCTGCTAATCTTTGATGTTAATTATTGGCACTCATTATACTGGAGTAGCTATCCAATTTCCGAGGAATTATATAACCTTCCTCCCCAGCCATAGTCAAGTGGGATGGATGCAGGTTGCTCCGTTACTTGTGTAACGGTACCAAATGTATTAGCCGGTACATGTAGCGAGGCGATAGGCACAGCAGAGTTACATAGTCATTGCAGTGGAAATGGAGCCATTGCGTGCTAATTGCTCCGAGTCCTGTCTCTTGTAGCATGCCTCGTCTGCTGCATGAGTCACTGCCACGCCAACTCAAGTTATAATTTGGGGAAAGCACTGCAGTGTTTGGAATAAGAAATAGCACTGCAGTGCAAAGATATGGGCTGTGGGCACCCAGGGAACTGCAAGAGGCCACCGGCACGGATGAGTCAAGATACCAGAGCGAGTGACCGGAGAGGGAAAGCTAGATTCATGGCTTGACGTCCTGTCAGATCAAGGCACTTGTGCAGCTGCCCGGGGGTCGTGCCTGCTTTGCTACCTGTTTTCATGCTTGCGTTCTAGGATAGCTTGGTTTACCTGCTGAACCGCGAGCAGCACACAGTGGGCCACCGGACTCAGTCCAGCAAACCCAGCATCAGCCTCTTCGCCCCGGACATCCTGCCCCTCCACTGCACCATCAGGAGACTCAAGCTGTCGAGCCGCTCCCGACACCGTTCGGAGGAGAAGCTGATCCTTGAGCTCATCCCGGGGGCCAGTGTGTCCGTCAACTTCTCCGAAGTGGGAAAGACCATCGTGCTGCACCACGGAGACCTCCTGTCCCTGGGGCTTTACTACCTGCTGCTCTACAAGGATCCCACGAGGGCCCATCCACTGCCTGCGCAGACGCTGATGAGGCTGAAATCTATGCATCGCGCCTCGGACCCTGAGGCCCTCGTGCTCTGTAAGATGTGTGGCAGCCAGCTCAAGGAGAGGGGCCCCTCCTCCAAGAGGCACGGGCCCTCCCCCGCCTCAGGCCAAAGATCAGCCAGGAAGAAGCTACAGCTGGAGTTCGAGAGAGCTGCCGAGGACGTGCTGGTGAGAAGGATCATGACCTTGATCGAGCCTGGGGGTGACGATCACAAGTTGACACCGGCCTTCCTGTTGTGCCTCTGCATCCAGCACTCCGCCACCAGCTTCGAGCCGGGCGACTTCGGCCAGCTGCTGCTCAAGTCAGCCAAGATGATTCAGAGGACGGTGTGGGTCAGTCTGTGAGCTTTCCTAGGGGAGTCGGGGACAGGGGGTAGTGCCGGGGACGCAGCCGGTGCTGTAGGGTCTCCGAATAACACCTCCTGTGAACTCGAAACCTAGGGTGGGGCATTCAAACTTTGCCCGTCCAAGGGCCACATTGGTGGATCCGGGGGCCCAAGGGCTGCACTTACCAAATCACCACCGTCCTTCCCTGTCACCCAGCTGTGCAGCCCACAGACACTAAGTTTGTGAGGCTCTGCCTGGACGTCTGCCCAGGCTGGATTAAAGCGGGTGGCAGCCCTGAGGCGCACTGTAGATCCCCATGTAATTCATAGAGGCTTGCAGGCCTTGAACTATCTTGCGAGGGTCCGTTGATGAGGAGCCAACCCTGTCCATCAATCCGAGGTCTTGTCCCCTCCCTCGCCATAGCGGTTTGAGACATCCCAGGGGCTTGGGCTGAAGGGGTTGCTTGGTGTTGATTGATGTGGTCAGAAGGTGCAAGGAAAGGCCAAACCCCTGTTAAATGTTTGATGTTCAACCCCTAGGATGAGGGGTAGCTCCTAGCCTTGCTCAGTACCACCCCTCCTTTCGCAGCCAATGGCCTTGGAAGCACAGACTGGAGGCCTATGGGAAGGTTTTGGACTGCTGCTGCCGTAGGGGAGAGGTCTGGGTTTATAGGTCACTGCAGGCCGGAGTCATTGTTAGCCGTATGCCTGGTCACGGGGCAGGAATGCCAGCTACCGTACATCACAACCCTCCATGTTGCTGCCTAACTGTCAGGGAGCGTGAGTGGAGGAAATGCACTTATGGAATCAGCGTTTGTACGTTTCCTCCCTGTTAGAGATCACCTCGTTCTCCTGCAGCGCGCGGTGCCATTCTGGCCTCGTTTACACCAGACTTTGTTTCTCACCATTGCTACCAGGTGAGGCTGCAGGCAGCCACCAGCATTTTAAGCAGAGTAACCCTGCTCAGAGCAAGTTTAGGACAACACGGTGATTAGAATGGCAGTAGCCTGTCTAATACAGGTGCAGCTGGTAGCAACGGTGGGGAACTTCAAGGGGAAGCGTTCCTGTAAATAAAACCTTAGTGCCGTGCAGCACATCGGAACTGAAATAACAATCAGTCTGGTGGGCACAGTGAGACATACACAGGAATCCCAGTGGGCAACTTACCCTGAAATAAGCACCTGCATATTGTACACTGTAACACACAATAAGGATATATCTGCGTAATTATATTCTAGGCAATTGCATAGTTCCAGGCTCCCTGGTTCCTTCCCGCCCCATTCCTTTTTGTGCGCTTGCAACATATATTGTAATTATATTAGCAAATCGAGCGTGCTTGTCGCCATAGCATCTGTGCGTCATTTCCTTTCGTTTAACTGTCTATGCAGAACAGCTGCAGTTGCTAGAAGGTGCATTAGAGATGGAGCAAGTCTCCAGTAGGCATTTTAAATATAGTTTTTGGCACAAGTTAAACAAAAGTCACCAAAGTTTTGCTCTGCCTTCCAATAAAGCGCAGAATAGCCAGCCCACTCAATGTCCCTGACAAAACTATCCCAAGCTCCTGTCGCAGATAGTACTGTTTCCCCTGGGTGTTTGTGTGTGTGCGCGTCCCTGTCTCTCTCTGCATTATGGTTATCTCATATTGACTTATGTTTTCCCCCCCATTAACCTAGGAGAAAACGAAAGAGCTGGCCGAGAAGCAGTCCCAGCAGTAAGTATCACCCGTCTTTACTCTCTCTGCCTTCCTCCTGCCCCACTCCTGCTTCCTCTTATGAATAGCGAAAGAGCTGCACCTACAGGGAGAGAAATTGCCTTTGGAATGACCAAGAGGGAAGTTCTGTAAAGAGCTGTAGGCCAAGGCAGCATTGTTAATATGCAGGCCCCGATTCAGCAAGGTGCTTCTGCTAATGTCTAATTTAGGTAGGGGCTTCTTGCCTGGCTCACCACCAGAGCTGGGCGACCTTTTTTTACACACCACTTTTTTTTCGGCGACAAATGCAAATTCAGCGACACAGGAACATTTTGTGAATTCATGTCCGTTTTGGCGAATTGTTCGTTTAGAAAAACAAACACAAAATCGGAGAAAACTCAAACGTTTTCTATATTTTTTTCTTTGCAATGACTTGGTGTTTCAAAACGTCACACAGCTCGACTCCCTACCTTGCTGAAGCAAGGACATAAAGCTTTTAGCACCCCTGCTGTCCGTGCCCTTTATAAGGGTAGATAGAAGGCAGTGCTGTCCTGTGGCCAGGAGACGGCTAGCAGAGGTACCTGCTGGGCCTCACCACATCCTCGCCCCTGGAAAAAGCCAGATGCCCTAGTGATGTAAAGAGCAATGAAAGGCCACTTTTTAAAAGCAGCCTTAGCCCAGCTTCTGATTTTGCAGTTGCGTTTTCCCACCAGCAGTTCGTTGCAGATGCTGGCAGTCAGAGCACATCTGGACTTGGAGCTGGGGCTGTGATTCCCAGCTCAAGGAGACATACTCGTACTAGCTCTCACCGAGTGAGCATGCTGAAAATAGAGTGTAGCCATAGCAGCGTCAGCAGCACGGGGGGCTAGCTGCCCAAAGTGCACGCCCATCAGAGATGCTAGGTGTGTACTTGGGGCAGCTCATCCCTTGAGCTACCGAGGCTATGCTCTGTTTTTAGCACACCAGCTCGATCAGAGCTAGCACCAGTATGTCTCCTCTCACTTGGAATCATACCCGCAGTTCAAAGTGCAGACATGCCCTTTGATAGTGGAGTGCTAGCATTTGTGCCAGCAGAACTGGAGGCCATTTAAAAAAGATTTAGGCCCTTAAAGCACAGATGGGAGCGAATAGAGATTTTCCTTTCATTGTTTTACAGTAACACCTTGGGGGTTTTGTTGTGTTTAACGTAGTGACAGTCCCCCAAAGAGTTTAAATAGACAAAGGGAAGGAGAGGAAACAGGTACAGAGCACTGAAGTGACTTCAGCCAAGGTCTCTTACCAGGTCAATGGTAGAACTGGGAATTGAACTGTAGTTTCCTGAGTCCTAGTCTTCTCCCCTAGCCATTGGGCTATGCTGCATGTTAGCCCTCATGACACACTTTTATACCGGGACCCTGCACATGCATTCCCTGAAGTGATGTGATTCCTTGACAGTCAGGGTTTACATGCATGTGGACTGCAGGTGGATGCATGCTGTACATTCCACAGCCCTGAATGGGTTCATTGCCTCACTCCTTCCTGTGTTTATGCTGGATCCAACCCCAGTACGTCCCCCAGAGGCCTGCGTTGGCCTACTTTTCCTTACACTATTTTCTGAACATCACAAGAGTGCTGCGTTTCCCCTCTTGTGTGATGTTGTGCTGCTGCGTGTTTACCTCTTGCACACTTGCAGTCTCGCCGTTTCTGCCAGCTATCACCAGCAGCTGGGAAGCCCAGCCACACGCTCTTCAAACTAAGGTTGATATTATTTGATTTCTTCATATTAAATGCGAGAGCTTCAAAAATGGCTATTCCTTTGGGTGCCCAGCTTGAGACACTCTAAAGGAGCCTGGTTTTCAGAGGTGAGTACGCTGCACTTTCTGCAAATCCAGACCCTTTTCAGGTGTCTCACAGTTGGGCATCCCAAAAACTGAGGTCCCAAGTCACTAGTCTCTTTAGAAGACCTTGGCCCTGTGTCCGTCTCAGATTTGGGGAGTTTCAGAGTAAGTGGGCTGTAGTCCACGAAAGCTTATGCTCTAATAAATTTGTTAGTCTCTAAGGTGCCACAAGTACTCCTGTTCTTCTTTTTTCAGATTTGGGGAGTGCCATTTTAAAATTAGCCATAATAGGCGTGAGCAGGAACCTTGGGTAGAACTACCTCCTGCAACGGGTAATAGCCACATAGAGTGAAGCTGTAAAATCCAGGGGTGAACTACGGGGCAGTCAGATGACTTGGTGCTAAGGAATTTCATGGGGGGTATGGTAAATCACAGTGTGGTAAAGATAAGCCTATCCATCTGTTACAGCCATATAGTTCAGCTTCTTCCGTTCGGGGCTGTGTACAGGTGTCGGTTAATTATTGTGTTGCGCGAGCAATCCTATAAATGTGGCTAACAATGAAGCCTTTTTGCCCAAAGTCCCTATTTTTGACTGGCTTAAAACAGTCCTCAGAAAAATATCTTTTGAGGCTGAAATTCTTCATGGTTGTTCTAAAGTGAGCTGGTTTTACAAAGTTATCAGAAATCCCATCCAACCATTTTTTGAGTGATCATAGCATGAAAAGCGTTTCGCTAGTTAAGAAATTTTCCAGATGCTTTTAAAAAAAATTTTTATAAGCCCTCGGTTAACTCAAGAGGGTTACTGCTCTCTGAACCGTACTCAGCCTCTGGATTGAGAGCCAGTCATCAGCACTAAATTCACAGGCAAAATCCCGGATGGTTGAAAACAGTCTCCTCAGCATTTGCAGTGCTATATAAAGGGCCTGATCCTGAGAGGAGCTGAGTGCTTTCAGTTCCCATTGACTCAGCGCCTTTCGCATCAGGTCAAAGTGCTAAAACAAACATTTGATCCAAAACTTTGCCTTTGTCAAGAGCATTTTTGCAGAAAGTCTTTTTCGGTTTCAATGCTGCTTTAGTGCACTTGGGCTCTCCAGCCTGGGGGTTGGGAGCTGCTGTTAGTAGGGCAGGGCTCTGGGAAAGACTTTCAAGAGTGATTTGTAGGTGCCTAATGTGAGACACCTTAAAAGGGGGCTGGTTTTCAGAGGGCAGGTTCTCACGAGTCTCAGGTTGGGCAGCTGACATTCCCCCCGTCGCTTCCGAGAAGCTTGCCCAGTCTCGACGACCCTGTTGGAGTGCCGGCTGCTCCAGGCTTGATTTTTGACCCATCACTTTTCTCCTCGTTTGATACAAGCCCCTGTATCCCACTATTGGCTGCCACTGTACCGTACCGCATGACCAGGGGAGAAGGGATCATGTGACCACCATTAGCGTTGTTGTTAATTCCTAAGAGGCCGGGAAACACTCGGCACCTTCAGCTCCGATTGAGTTTGCTCAGCATTTCTCAGGAGGTGCTCAGCACCTGACTGTTAATCAGCAGGTCGGAGGTTCTCAGGATGGTTAGCAAGTCACCGAGATCCAGCATTTGGTCTCTGGGGTGCTGGGCTGTGGCGTTTCCGCTGATTGGGAAACAGGAATCCCATTGCCAATTTGCAGAATAGTTTCACAGCACATCCGTAACTCCCCAGGGGAAGCCAGCTGCTGGGTTTGGTTTGGGTTTGCTTTCTAAGACCATTACTCTTGTGCTGGCAATAGCCTGTGACCGTACTCATTCTGAAACTTCTGAGAGTGTCGGGGAAAAGTGTGTCGATGCAGTCGCAGGAGAGTATAAAATACTGGAGTGTTGTCTGTGCTGCCGGTGTATCCATTACTGCATTGTTCATGCCCACTGGGACTATCCTGCATCGCCAGCCTCTGAGAGGGGCACAAGCCTTTCCCGTAGCCAGGGGCTTCATGCACACACAGAGAGACTACAACTGCAACCAGCTTTGTCCTGACTGGAGTCTGAAACGCTCCTCTTGCCTTCTCTGTCTCACCAGTCAGGATCCTGGATCCCTGTCCCGCTTCACCGTCACAGACCTGGTCCCGGACCTGCAGCACATTCTCTTCTGGATGTCCAACTCCATCGAGCTCCTGTACTTTATCCAGCAGAAATCCCCCACCTACATCCAGAGCCTGGAGGAGGAGCTGGATGTCAAGGGTAGGACTCCTGCTTCTTTATACCGATATGCCTCTGCCTTTGTACTGACAAAACGTCCCCAGCTGTATGCCCACTGTGCGACATGTCAGGCAAAGGGGGCGCTGTAGCACCAAGCTGGTTTGCTGGTGTTGTCCTCCCTTGCTGCTCCAGCAAGGTACTTCCATCCTGACTTCAGAGACCACCGTGTTGCCTCTTTATCCCAGATATGTCCTTCGATAGTATTGGGGTTTGTGGAAAGTAAGGGAACTTCACCCACAGTGCTCATGACCCCACCAGCTCTCTGGGACGTCTCCTGAGCAGGTTCTTGAAGGATAAACTGTGGTGCCTTTTGTGGCACGTCCGCTGGAGATTGAGCCAAGGCAGCCATAGCACGTGGACGCTTGAATGTCCTGCTGGGATCTGCTCACTCTGCTCCCCGTTACTCAATCCTGAGTGCAGAATTGCTTACCTGTGAAACTGCAGGTGCAAAGGTAAAAAAGGAGGCTGGATTGAAGTCAGTCTTAAAATCAGGGCTTTTGTGTGTCAAGAGTCCCTTTTACACAGACGTGAAAAGGAGGTTATTCTTCGAATGCTTGTTCATGTCCATTCCAATCAGGTGTGTGTGTGGGCACGGCAACTGGAAGATTTTCCCCCTAGCAGCATCCATCGGGTTGGCCTGGGCGCCCCCTGGAGTCACGCCTTCATGGCGCTCAATATAGAGCCCTGCCGACCCGCCAGCCCCTTCTTACCGCCGGTGATGGTTAGCTGGAATGTCCCATAGGTCTTGCCTTGGCAAGCGCCTTTGCAGTGTCCATTGTATATAGTTGTTTACCTCTTAGTATAGTTAGTATTAATAGTTAGTTAGTGTTAAGCAAGTGCCTTTCCCAACTGGCTCGAAAACAAAGTCCCCCCATTGTGTAGAGTCGAAACTGAACTCTTTCCTGGGATTTTGGTTTATTAATGAGATGCTAAAGCTCAGATCAAACTTTCTCCCAGGTTTAGCTGCTCCCAGGGTTCCTCCCTCAGGATTGCTCAGCTCACGCCCTAGATCCTCTTTCACTGGAGGACTACTCCCTTCTCCCTTATATCTTCATGGGGTATCAAGCCACCTGCCTTTGAGTCCAGGGAACTCACTTGGCCCTACTGGGTTTCAGCCACCTTGTCAGAAGGGGCTTGCACAATGATGAGCTCTTGCATGTAGCCTTGTGAAGCCATGAATGGATATGATTTTGGGGCATGGATCCCATTGCAACCAAGGGGTCACCATGACTTCTGTCACCAAGAATGGACTGGTATCTATGTGTTGATACCTGAGGTAACAAGGTCCTTTCCCTGAACCCTTAGTCCTGGCCACTGAGATAAGAGGAAAGGGATGCAACATCGGTAAGGAGGAGGCTCTGGGAGTATTCTGCAGGCCGCCCAGTCCTCCAGGCCACAGTTGGAAACCCCTGCCTGGCTGCCAGCCCTTGCTCCGCATTCTGCAGCCTCACCTCTCACTCCACCCTGTGAAGTGAATCCATTAGATCGCAGACCAGACCGGCTACCTGGTTAGCAGTGTTGCTCAGTATTACCGGTGCCTCTGGAAGCACCACTAGCTCTCAGGGCTGCTAAGCTAAGTCCTCCAGCCCTGTGAACACTTGGGAGGGAAATAATCCCCCTTATCAAATGAGTGGTGACAGCTTGCAGCCGCAGGGAGTCTAATACGGTGAGGGGATTAGCCGGGCTTCACTCTCAGCATGGCCTCGTTTTCTCATTCCCCTCGGAGGGAGAGGGAGCAAAGCACTCAAGAGCCAAACCAGCTGAGTCCTGGAGGCTCTCCATGTCCTATGCTATCTTGGTTCCCATGCTGATACAAGATGTAAAGACCCATGTGCGGGTGGGAGGGTGGGACAGCGGGTGCATTCTTATTCAGTGAGAGCTCTAAAAAATGTGCTTGTAGGCTAAAAATACTGCAGCCCTCACAAAGTGCAGGGCGCGCATGAGCAGCTGCTGGGAAAGTGAGATGATAAACCCCAGGAGTTGGGGTTCAGTTCATCCATTGCAGGGCTCAGTACGATGTCAAGAGAAGATCCTGAAACTAATTAGGTCTTTATCTTTTCCTTGAATCTTTCTCTGGGTTTTCTTGCGGCCTGGTGGCTTCCCCACCATTGGTCTGAGTATGCCCACCCCTGCTGTTCCTCACTGTTTGGATAAGGGCTTCCCAGTTGTCCCAAACTATTTTCTTTACGTTTCTCACCATTGTTGAGTCTGTGTTAATTTCAAGGGAGATTTGTCAAAAGCACTCAGTGTCGGCCCAACTCTGCTCCCACTGCTGTCAATGGCAAAGCTCCCACAGACTGCAATGGGAGAGAGCTAGGCCAGTGGCTCTGAACCTTTCCAGACTACTGTCCTCCTGTCAGGAGTCTGATTTGTCTTGCGTACCCCCAAGTTTCACCTCACTTAAAAACTACTTGCTTAGAAAAATCAGACATAAAAATACAAAAGTGTCACAGCCCGCTAGTACGGAACAATTGCTGACTTCCTCATTTTTACCATACAATTATAAAATAAATCAATTGGAATATAAATATTGTACTTATACTTCAGTGTACAATATACAGAGCAGTATAAACAAGTCATTGTCTGAAATTTAGTTTGTATTGACTTTGCTAGTGCTTTTTATGTAGCCTGTTGTAAAACTAGGCAAATATCTAGATGAGTTGATGTACCCCCTGGAAGACCTCTGCGTACCCCCAGGGGTACACGTACCCTGGTTGAGAACCTCTGAGCTAGGCTAACACAGAGTGATTTTGAAAATCCCACCCTTGCTCGCCTTCCTCATTTATTACGGGCCCCATTTTGTCTCTAGTATCCTCCCCCCCAACACCCACGCAGAACACAGGGCATGGGCACAGATGCTGTCCCCCTGGGTAGATTTGTAAAAGTCTCTCTCTCCATTTTTGCAGCCCTTATTAGTAGTCGGCCATTCCTAAAGGTCTCTCTTTTCTTCTTTGCTCACCACTCCACTTTCCCATCACAATACAGTCGATGTCATTTTGTATCCTTCTCTTCGAACAACCCTGTATGAAGCCTCGCTGGAACTGCAGTCTTTTTCTTCTTAATTGTGGTGTTTTTTAGGGTGACTAGCTGCTTTCTGCATTGCTGGGTTTCAATACTTCCTTCGACTGGGCCTTACTCGCTGGGGTGAGATGGCGGCTTCACTGAAGTCAATGGCAAAACTCTCATTGACTTCAGTAGGGCCAGTATTTCACCCTATTTCATTTCTCACAATGTGCGTTCCTGAATCCCAGTCATGCCCGTGTACAGCTGCGTTCTGTGAATCCAGTCCTTACTATTCTGAATTCAAGAAGTTTCCTTATTATTCTCACAGTCGTGATCAGTTTCTCCCTGTTGGTAAAAAGCAGATTTAGGATGGCTTCTCTTCCAGTTGGAATCTCCACTTATTGGGTCATAAGGTTGCCTTTACATCACTAAGGGAAATCTTTGATCATTCCTGGATCCAACACAGGCAGGGATTGTTGGGAAGGCTTCACGCTGATTGAGAAAAGGCAGAGAGAGCACTTCGGGCAGAAAGACTGGATCGTTCTGAAACCGAAGATGAAGGATAAGCATATGAATGCACAGAAGTGTCCGTGCACAAATGCCAGGGTAGGGCTGGCTGAAAACCACGAACGCTTTTCACAAAACATCTTGCAAAAAATTTGTCCCTGTTTTTTGGCAAAAGAAATTTGAAATTCAATTTTTTTCAGCCAGTTCTATCCAGGAACATGGGAAACAACCAAGTGCTAGAAGTATTACTAAGTGGTGTCAGTTATGGTGTAGCTGGCAAAACCCACACCCTACTGGATGAGTCCCATAACTGGAGTATTACTATGGGTAAGTACAGTCTACAGAGATGAGCGAGATGGGTGATGCTCAGCTTGCAGGGGACTATCGATAGAGAGATGTGAAATATATTTACAGTGCCAGCAAGCTTACAAGGAATGAAAAGTCAAGGAAGATGACGGTGGGCATTTGCTGCTGATCACTAGGACGGGAGGAGAGTGAGAGAAAAACCTCCTGGGCCAAATCTCCAGCACTCAGAACCCTAGGTCATTGTGTTTAGGTGGATGATAATTACCCAGATACATGCTGGGTAACATGCACGGAGAATTCTGCTTAAATTGGCCATGGGCAGATCCAAGCAGGTTCTCCTTGCAGCAGCTAATCCAATGTTCTGTGACTCTCGGTCCTTCTGTTCTATAGCACCAGCCCCTCCCTCTGCTGCTCCCTAGTGTCAGATCTTCTCCTTCCTTTGCTGGCATTTAGTAGCTGAAGGGTCTCTGAGATGAACACCTGCCTGCGTTCCTCTCTCATATCCCCAGAGGGATTCTGGGACATTTGTCTTCCCTGGCTGGTAGCGTTTGCTCCCTCCTGGGCTGTAATCGGTGGGAACAGCTAGATTTGGGTTGCTGTCTAGAGAGAGGATTCTTTAAATAGGTCTGTTCCCTTAGTGGGAATGGTCTCTGGGAAAGTGAAGTCCATGGCATGTGCAAGAGTGAAGGCAGCAAGCATGCAAGTGAAGGAGCATTCTGGGTTTGTGGGGTGAGCGACATTTGCTTAAAACGCCAGGGCATTGTAAGGGAGAGAGATTTACCCCCTGCCCATTCCAGGCCTTAGTTCAGCAAAGCACTTAAGTGAGTGCTTAAGTCCAGCCCTGTTCAGCAAAGCACTTAGGCACATGCTTAACTTTTAGCACGTTCTTAAGCCACATTGACATCAATGGAACTTACGCCTGTGGCTAAATTAAAGCAGGTGTTTAAGTGAATTGAGCTGGATGGCTGAAGTGGGGCCATCCTGACTCGAGGGGCTGATGCTCAGCCAGGAGGGTGGTAGCAGGGGTGACTCCGGGTACCAGCACAGCAAGTGCGTGCTTGGGGCGGCACGCCGCGGGGGGCAGCGTGCCGGTCGCCCTGAGGGCGTGAGTCAGGCGGCCTTTGGCGGCATTTCTGCGGGAGGTCCGCCAGTCCCACGGCTTCAGCGGCAATTTGGCAGAAGGTGCCGAAGGCGCGGGAACGTCAGATCACCTGCAGAAACACCGCTAAATCCGCGTGACCAGCGGACTGTCCGCAGGCGCGTTGCCGAAGGCTGCCTGACTGCCGTGCTTGGGGCGGCAAAAAACATAGAGCCGCCCCTGGGTGGTGGGTCTTGGTGGGGGAGGGAGCAGCGTAGTGTCATATAAATACATCTTGTGCCTGGGCAGGTTTTGGTGAATCAGGCGGGATAGAAATAACATAAACAAGAGGGTGAGGGAAAGGTTAAAATCAGTATTTTGGCCTCTTGACATCCCTCAGGAAATATCTGTGGGAAGATTTTTAAAAATAAAAAAGTCGTAGCCTGAGAATAAGTGAAATACTTTTGATTTTCAAAGTCTAGCCGGTACATTGGAGTGCACGGAACCCACAGGCTGGCAAACGAAAAGGAGAGGTTTTTTCCTAGACCTTTTCCCTTCCCATTCATTGCTATCTAGACCAGGGGCCAGGACCGCCCCCCCTTTCCCAGATTGCTCCATGGGGGGAGAGTTTTGTGAGAGATGGGGGGATTCCAGGTATGCAGAAGGATGAGAAACCCTGGGCTGGCCCCCATCTTTCTACATGTGAGGGTGTTTCTCCTGGCACATGTTTTTAACACCTTTTCCACTCAGGTGATCTGAAATAGTCTGAGAAAAGCATTGTACCCCTGGGAAATGCAGGTGTTTAGACCTTGCTGTATGAGCAATTCTGTCCTATAATTAGAGCAGATGGAATAGTTAAAAAAAACCCGCAAAACAAACAAAACCCAACAACCCTGATTTGGGTATATTTTTGTGACTAAAAGCCCCATGTTCAGTTCACAGCTTTGTGGGGACATACCATCCATGCATCTCTGGATGCCCTGGTATTCATGAAGCCGTGTGCCAATCCCAGAAGCTTCATGAATCGTAGCACTAATTAATATTTGCCTGAAAACTTGTGCCAGAAAATGTGTTACTTCTTTTTCGTTACTCTCCTGATCCCATGTGATTTAGATGACCGGTCAGGCAATACAAATAATGGCTACAAAGTAGTCAAAGCAAACCGTTTGTGAACCAGCCCATTGGCTGAACATTATTTGTTGAAACTGTTTGGTGAATACTTACAAATAGATTCACAGAAATCAGCACCAGGGCCCAACTGGATCCCTCACCGAACCCGGGGCTGGCTTCCTATTGAATATTATTCCCACAAAGCTTTGGACAACAGTTGAGAAACTTGAGGACAGCTTGGGTGACAGTCACTCAGGACCAGATGTATTACTGGGGACTTCCTTAAAGAGATCACACAATACTGAGTACTTTCAGGACCTCACGGAATCCATAGTCTACACATGGGTCCCAGAAAGCGCTATCCCTTGTGTCTCCATACCCCTCTCTGCAGTCACCCCCACCTCTCGGCATGTGATCAGAAATATTCATAACATGGACTGGCTATGTTTGGCTGTGATCCTTATTTTCCGGTTTGAAATCCTGCACCGGCAGATTCCCTAGCACCTCGGCTTTCAATTTAAATTGCCTGAGACAGATGAGCACCAAGGTTTCCTTCTGCATCGTCAATGTTATTTTTCATGTCAGATTTGAAAATCTTATTATGGCCATGTTTTTAAATTGACTTTTCCCTTCAGAAACTTGGGTTCGCATCAACCTCGGGGCACATGTGAAATGAGTTTGAGTGGTGTCAGCCTGCTCTGGAGTAGGTATTTGCCAGTCTTTACAGAGTCCAGAGTGATTAGCAGTCTCAGTTCCAAATAGATCAGGATTAAAATAGCAGATCGGGACTAAGGTTCCTTGGCACAGCAGTGAGGGGTCCTGCTATTGGAATAGCAAGTGGGGCTGTAGACCAGGATTCAGGTGCATTACGCAGTGCTGTATGTGGAAGTTTACAATGCTCCTGCCTTCATTACACATGGGTTGATTGAGTCTTATTAGCCCCTCACTTTCCTGAGCCTTAAAAATTCACCAGCTTACCTCCCTGAACTGCCGCAAAAGGGTGTGTGGCTGAAAAGTCCTTCACTAACCATCTGCAAATGGGACTTGGGGAATGGTCAGGTGGATGATGTCATGGAATTTCCCTCTTTCTGATTCCACATCAAAGGAACGTGGGGGTGGGGCTAGTTTGGCAAAGCTATCGGGACCTTCTCTTCTGTTCCAAAGGCAACGTTTTCTGACAAGCTGCGTTTGGAAAGCACTTCATCCAGCTGCACAAATATTCAGAATATGGGGCTGGCGGGGCTGCAAATCTGGACTGAAATCGAAGCATTGCTAGAAGAAAAATGTTAGTCAGTGGGGGAAATATTACCCCTCCCCCCGCAACCTATCAGTGCCCAGAAATACAACATATATGTGTTTAACAGCCACTGCTATGGCAACCCCATGTTTTATTAGATCTGGATTTCTGTACACACTCCCTGCTCACAATGCACCAAGGAAAGTGAGGTGCAGTTTCACGTCTTTAAGGGAGAGCCAGGAAAAGGCCCCAGCAGAATGCAGGGTTGGAGTTTTCGATTCCTGACATGGCTCCCCAGCCACTGTGGAAAGGGAAGGCACCAGTATGAATTTATATTATCTCCAGTGCAGTGTCCTTTGGAGACTGACTAAGGGGCAGGCGGATCCTGGCACAGATGATACAATGAGAGAAGAAAAGGGAGAACCAGCTGAGTTCTCCTGTAGTGGAGTGAATTCAGGGGGTTGCAGTCACGGCCCTGGAGACTGCTGCCATCAATTCAAACTCGGGATAAACAGGAGGGGTTCAGCTGGGCAATGGAAGTGTGTCTGCTCTGCTCTCTGATCTGGAGTGGACCATCTCTGCTAGGGAACAGGAGCTCTGTCTTGTGCATTCATCCTCAGGCCTTTTGCTGTGACTGCCAGCACTGGTGACAGTGTCAAGGTGCTTTTTGTGATGTGGGTATCTGTCCACTAAAATGAGAGCACCATACGCACCAAATGGCCTCAGATGGGAATGGCTTCTCTTTCTGAACCTCTGTCTTAAAAGAGCCATCTTGAGCTGTCCAGCTTCTCAAAGTCAAGCCAGATAAATGCGCCTTCAGCTTTAATTTCACTAGTGCAATGGGGACATCAAGTGGCCAGGTAAAGTAGTGCAAGTTGTGCATCGTTGTGAACGTCCCAAGGATGCATCTGCTACCTGATTTTTTTTCCATTTAAGAGTGACTGTAAGAAATAACGTAGGCATCAGTTCTCCTCCATGCCAGCTCCTCTACCGCTCTTTGAAATAGTCCTCACTGTTGGGAGCCTTCGCGAGACAGCAGTGTTAAGTTGTGCCACCCAGTAGGGAACTGTTGCTGCTACAACACCGTTTGATTTGCTCAAGGGCACACAATGAGTCAGTGGAAGAGCTAGAAATAGAATCCAAAACTTCTGGCTCCCAATCCCACCCTGTAACCACTAGCCATGCTTCCTTTGCAGTAACAAACCCATGGCAGTTCGGTGTATGTCAGTAGCCTTTGCATAATGAAATACAGCATCACAAGTTGACCCTCAGAGAGACAATTCATCTACTAAACTAACAGACCCGGTTTGGAGCCCTTTGCTCTGACGCGTTCCATTGCTGTCTTTGTCCTTTAGGTTCTAAGGAGTCTCTGTTCTCTTCAACCATCACAGCCAGCGAGGAAGCCATGACAGTCCTAGAGGAAGTGATCATGTATACTTTTCAGCAGTGTGTCTACTATATCTCCAAGGTATGTGCACCCCCAACACCTCCCCCTCTCTCCCGCTAATGCACAGCCTAATCCAGAGGGCTGCCAAGGGCGAAGAGGAGCTTTGTGCTGATGGTGTCTTACTGGAAATCAAAGGGGGATGATGGGAGAGGGAGGAGAGAAGTCTCCCAACTGAGCACCCGTGCCTCAAATTGCCCTCCCTCTCCATCCTGTCCTGGGACAGCAGGTTCTTCTTTCTGCTGAGTTCTAACAGATGTACTGGTTCTTGCAAGCCTCCTCTGTATTAAAAAACGCTGGTCTCTAGGATGCAGTGCAAGAAATGCTGGCGCCAGGGGATTTGACTTCCCCTAACGTTCCTGAGTCACTGAAGAGGATCAGAAACGACTTTTTGAGGGCTCAGAAATGATCAAACAGGTTGATTTTTTTAAAAAACCACATTGATGTTTTTGGATGGCCCAAGTTATTTAGCTGGTGTTTTTTTCTATTACAGTGCTCAGCCAGGATCAAGGCCCCATTGGGCAAGGCATAGCACAAACATGTAGTAAGAGAGAGAGACCTTGCCCCAAAGAACTTGCAGTCTAAATAGGTAAGACAGACACAGAGCAGTAGACTCGGACTTAGGGGCCGGGGTGAAATTCCCAGCTCAGCCATAGGCTTGTGGCCTGACCTTAGTTGAGGCATTTGATGTACCCTGTAAAATGAGGAGGATACATTCCTAGCTCTCAGGTGGGTGTGAGGATAAAATCCATTAAGGATTACGAGTGCTTGGATGCTGTTTACTAACATGAGCCTCCCCCATTACTATAGTATGTGAGCGCCTCATGATCTTTGAAAGATGCTACGCTGTATAAGAATCTAGATAGCAAACTGGGCGAGTTTCAATATAATCACCCTAGCAGGTGATTGGCAGGGGGGAGAGCTGCATGTCGGATACCTTGAACTGATCGCAGTGAATTTCTGGCAGGTGAGAGGTCCCTGAAGAATTAACAGTAACACTGTCTCCTAGGGAGGCATTTGCTCATTACGGTGTCCCCATTCGTGAATGGCTTAGCCAAGGCTACACAGTCACTTTCACGACCAACCCTTATTCTCCCTCACTCCTCCTTGTAACTTTTGCATGAATTTTCCTCTGGGCTCAAGTGTCCCAGTGATGGTCAGAGCCCGAGGAGAGTGTGAAATTACGATGGAACAGTTCTCTGCATGGCTAGCAACTTGGAAACAAGGCACCAGGCCACAGGAAGCCAGGAAGAAATGAGTGGCCCACAGATCAGTAGGAAGAGTTGTTGGGATAGTGCGTCCAGCCCTCCTCAGCTTGTTTGTGATTTACAGTACAGTAATAGCCCTGGGTATAATGAATTGATTCATGTACATGATGGAAATATTCCTTCTGGACTCGCTCTGTTAGGCCCCTGGAGTGAAATTTTATTGCGAGTGCTCATTACAGAGCGCTGAACAGTGTGTGCAGTGTGGGCCCAGAGAAAGGCTGCTTGTGTCTGCAGGGTGGGGACTTGTTTCCATTGAAAGAGACGTTAAACTCGACTGATGCTGCTGCCTTTCCACCAGCTCCCCCTGCCAGGTCTGGTGATTACAGACTTGGCCTCTCGCTGGGAAATGGACTATTTTTCTTCTTGATTCTATTTGTAGCTCTTTTTTTCCCCTCTGTGGAAAGAGTGTTCCACTATTCCAGCAGCCTCTCCCCCTCTCTGATTGGTTGATGCTTATCCTGTCTCATTTGCATACCTAGCAAAAGCTCTGATTGGACACTGCTTTTCAACCTTTCTCATTTACACAAAGGGAAGTGTCTCTAATTGGACACTGCTTTTGTCTTCTGCCTTTTTTTCATAGCATGTGTATTAGATCTTCAGTTACCATGTGGGTGCATAGAACGGGCACATTCCTTTCACTTAATAGCTACAGTAGTTTGTCTCTCACATTCCGTTTGTGCCCCAAAACAGACCGAGACCAACTGACCACCATGTATGGTGTGAAATTATTGCTTAGGGACAGGGCTGAGCAAGCTTGCAGGTCACAAGGAGTTAGTCCGTGAGGGGGGCAAGAAATATGCTCTTCCTTGTTTGAGAACAGCAGGGCTTGAGCTGGTTATGGGATCATGGAAACGAGAGATTCAGAAGACCTGTTTAGGTCACCATCTGGCCAATGCAGAATTGCTTCCCACAGTAAATCTCCAGCGCTTTGAATCCTGGACTTGTGTATTTCTTGTCTCCTCCCTCTCCAGTCTCTGTATGTATCTTTACCTGCCCTCCTGGAGTGTAACCCCTTCCAGAGTGAGGGCCAGGAAGGTTGGCGGGCATCATCCCAGTTGCCTGAAGAAATACGCAGAGTTGTGTTGATCTACCAGGCTACGCTGGACCTGCTCCACCAGTATGAAGTGCACCCTGAAATAGCCTCCCAGATGTTTGCCTACCTCTTCTTCTTCTCCAACACTCTGCTCTTCAACCAGCTCATGGACAAAGGCGAGTGACCTTGGGACCAGGGAGTGAGACATTTGTGGGAGGGGCAGGCGTTCCCAAAGACTGGTCTTGTCTGCTTTGAAGACCTCTTTGTGTTTATTCATTAACTAATGTAACAGACTTAAAATGCCCCAGTATTCCAGCCAGCCAGGCTATGAGATGAGGATCGGCCAAATGTGGGGAGAGATTTTACAGCATCTGTTGGGATGTTTTAGGTTGTGAGGGGCTTGGACACACCTGGAATTCTGCATTCAGCAAAGGAGTCTTGCTGCCCTGTTACCTAAACTCGTGTTAAGCTATTGAGCCCCCGTGCGTAATTCATCAGTATGGCCCCACTGCCAGGGAGAGACCCCCAGACTGGTCCTGACAGCAAAGCAGCCAACTTGTTTCCTATAGGGGATAAGGATGCTTTAGAACTTGACTTAAGCTACTGAGTCCTTTGTTTAACTGGTGTCAGCAGAGAGGTGGTTAGGAATAAGTGTCACTTTCAATCATTCAGAGCCCTGCTTCAGCACTAAGACTGGGGTGGGGTGTGAGAGAGGGCGGGGGGGGGGGTCAGGACTCTGCCGGGCTAGTAGCAATTAAACCTATGGGAGCTAGAGGCTGGGTGGGGGTGGGGCTCAGCTACACCCAGAAATGAGGTCTTTGTGACTTCACTTCCTTGACTCTGATGGACTCCCTGGATCGCAGCCTGTGCGTTCTGCTCTCTAGGTGTATAGTTGGCTCAGCTAACAGCTTAACTCGGGTTTTAGCTTCTGCTCCCTTGGCTTGACTCTGCCTTTATATTTGCTGTCTTGCCCGAGTCTGCTGCCTTTATCGATAACGCTCCACTAACCCCTTCTTAATGCCTTGGATTTTCACTGTGATTCCATTGTTCATGGGGATGTGTTCAGGGGTGAAAGTAACTTAAAGGACTTACCAGTAGGCCGGAGTTGTTAGGGGGCGGAGCCTCAACCAGAAGGGGGCGTGGCCTCCACTGGAAGAGGCTGTCCTTTAAATCCCCAGGCCCTTTAAATCTGGGCTCTGCTGCAGTAGTGGTGCCTGGAGCCCCTGGCCCTTTAAATCACCGCCGGAGCCCCGCCGCCGCTACCGCAGAGCTCCAACAGCGGGGCTTGGGTGGCGATTTAAAGGACCACTGCCAGGAGCCCCAGGCCCTTTAAATTGCTGGCCTGGGGGAGCCAGGCCAGTACACCATACCAGACCGTACCGGCTTACTTTCACCTCTGGATGTGTTCAGCCTTTGTTAGCTCTCCCCCCAAATTAACCTACCACCCCTCTAATCGCTTGTGCTGGGGTTGGTATAAGGTCTGCCATTTTGATGCCGAGCGGAGGACAGGCCACAGGCTGTTAGTGGAGTTTGCTCCCCAGCACTGCCTGATTGCTGTGCATAATAAAACATTGCATCCTGCTTCTTAATTGAGGCGAAAATCTGCTCATTAATTAATCCTAATTACCGCAGAATTCCAGTTGAACTACAGAGCATGTGATACCTGTATAAACTCCAGCAGCACCTCCTTACCATCAGGTGTATTGCAGCTAATACCATATGAGTTAATAGGAGTTGGGTGCTTAAAGAATTAACCTAATTTTGCCACTCAGCCCTGTCAGGCCTCTGTCCCTCTTCCTGCCCAGCTCCGCCCCACTTAGAAACAGAGTCTCTGTGGTGAGCCGCAGGCTCTGCCAGCGCTGCTCCCTCTGCCCTGTCCAATGGTCCACTAAGCAAGAACAAAAAGGGGAAGGGAAACTGTGTGCTCCAGTCCCTTCGCAGTGCCAGCGAGTATGTTGTTGAGCCACAGCTATGACGGCCCCTGGATTTAGAGCTTTGTCGTTGTTGTTGTTTCAAATAGAAGGTAACTTTAGAAGGTGCCAGTTCTGGAGCTTGGACTCCTCCATTTGGCCCTGATTCACCAAAGCACTTGCTTAACTTTGAGCATGCCAGTGTTCCTATACCTGTTCTGTGAGACATGTAGTTAAGTCATAGAATATCAGGGTTGGAAAGGACCTCAGGAGATCATCTAGTCTAACCCCCTGCTCAAACCAGGGCCAATCCCCAGACAGGTTTTTACCCCAGTTCCCTAAATAGCCCCCTCAAGGATTGAACTCACAACCCTGGGTTTAGCAGGCTAATGCTCAAACCACTGAGCTATCCCATTAAATGCCATGCAAGCAACTTATCTTGCAAGGTTTTATCCAACTTTTAAGACTTTTTTGCCAGTTTGAATGGTGGGGATTTCCCGAGAGCTGCTGTTTACATAGACTCTTGGATGCATCAGACCTGCAGACAGAAAACCATCCCCCATCCAGTATTGGACTGGACCTGCAACCAAACCCATGCTGACTGCAAGCTGCTTGGGGCAGTACCTAGGATGGCAAGTAACGCCTGGTCTAAGATTGTGGCCCCACAACACAGATAATAAAAGCCTCTCTGAGCTGGGCTAAGGCAAGGGAGCTCCGTAGCAACCAAAAATAACAACAATATAAAATTACCACGGCACACATCAAATGGATTAAAAACTGACTAACTGATAGATCTCAAAATGTAAGGGAAGCATCATCAAGTGAGTGTGTTTCCAGTGGGGTCCTGCAGGGATCGGTTCTTGGCCCTGCGCTATTTAACATTTTTATCAGTCGCCTGGAGGAAATCATAAATCACTGATAAGATTTATAGATGACACAAAAATTGAGGGAGTGGTCACCGATACTGAATGATCTGGATTGCTTGGTGAACTGGGCATAAATGTAAAAGTCTACATCTAGGAACAAAGCATGTTGGCCATACTTACAGGAAGCAGTGACTGAAACAGATTAGGGGTTGTAGGGGATAATCAGCTGAACACAAGCTCCCACTCTGACACTGTGGACAAAAGGCTAACGGTGACCCTGGGATGCATAAACAGGGAACTCTCGAGTAGAAGTAGAGAAGTTATTTTATTTCTGTATTTGGCATCATAGGCGCCAACTTCCCCTCTGTCCCGTGGATCCTCGATCCCCTCTCCCACGGCCCCCGCCCCACCCCAATTCCACCTTCTTCCCCCAGTCCCTGCCCCTGCCCCGCCTCTTCTCCACCTCCTCCCCCAGGTGTGCCGCGTCCCTGCTCCTCCCCCTCCCTCCTGGAAAGTCCTAAGCGCTGCCAAACAGCTGTTAGGCGGCGGCCGGGAAGCGCTGGGAGAGAGGGAGAGTAGCGGGGACGCGGAGCGCTCGGGAGGGGGAGAGCAGAAGGAGACGAGGCGGGGACAGGGGGAGCTTGGCTGCCGGTGGGTGTGGAGCACCCACTAATTTTTCCCTGTGGGTGCTCCAGCCCCTCAGCACCCACGGAGTCAGCACCCATGTTTGGTGTGATCGCTACTAGAATACTGTGTCCAGTTCTTGTGCCCATGATTCAAGAAGGATGTTGATAAATTGAAGAGGGGTCAGAAGAAAGCCACTAGAATGATTAATGGATTAGAAACCCTGCCTTATAGTGCTGCCTATCAAGTGCTCAGTCTATTTAGCTTAACAAAGAGAAGGTTAAGAGGCGACTTGCTCATAAATCTGCCCGGGGGACAAATATTTAAGAGCGGGCTCTTCAGTCTGGCAGAGAAAGGTCTAACACAATCCAATGGCTGGACAGTGAAGCTAGACAAATTCTGACTGGAAATAAGTTGCAAATGTTGACAGTGACGGTAACTAACCACTGGAACAATTTACTCAGGGTCGATTTTAAAATCCAGATGCGATGTTTTTCTAACAGACCTGCTCTAGGCAGGGCCGGCTTTAGGCCGATTCAGCCAATTCGGCTGAATTGGGCCCCGCGCCAAGAGGGCCCCGTGCCAAGAGGGCCCCGCGCTGCAGCTCTCCACCCCGCCCCCAGCTCACTTCCCCCTCCTCCCCTCCCCTGAACGCTCCGCCCCCTCCCCTGCTTCCCGCGAATCTCTGATTCGCGGGAAGTCTGAAAAGAAGCAGGGGTGGGCTGGCAGCACAAGGTAAACTGGGGCGGTGGGGCGCGAGAAGGGCTCCGGGGAGGCGCGGCCCGTTCCCGCAGGCCCCAGCGGCTCTGGCCCGGCTTGGTTCCAGCCCGGCCGCCGCGGCGCAGCCCAGCTCCGGCTCAGCCCAACAACCGCGGTGTGGCCCGGGTCGGCTCCGGCCCGTTCCCCGCGGCTCAGGTCGGCTCCGGCCCGGCCCCCGCGGCGCGGGTCGGGTCCCCCCCCCGGCGCGGCCCCCGCGGCGTGGCTCCGGGTCGGACCCAAGCCCAGCAACCCCGGCCGGAGCGTGGCTCGATTCCTGGGGGCGGGGCTTGCAGCAAGCCCCGCTCTTGCTAAAGCCGGCCCTGGCTCTAGGAATTATTTTAGGAACGTTCCCTGGCTGTGTTATCATAGACTATCAGTGTTGGAAGGGACCTCAAGAGGTCATCTAGTCCAACCCCCTGCTCAAAGCAGGACCAATCCCCAAATGGCCGCTTCAAGGATTGAATTTACAATCCTAGGTTTAGCAGGCCAATACTCAAAGCACTGAGCTATCCTGTCATCATGGAGGAGGTCAGGCTAGATGAACACAGTGGTCCCTTCTGGCCTTGGCATTTCTGAATCTCACCCGCTAGTGAGGCTGGCAGGGCCCAGCGTGTGGGTCCTGCATGAGGTGGTTTGCTGCAGGAAGCACACGGAACCTTTCGCGCTAGAACAGCGAATGGTGAGCCCTGAGCCTGAGGTCTGTCCACCAGAGTTACGTTTTCCATGCAGCCTTCGGCATCGCCGGAAGAGCAGTTAGTTTTGTGTCCATGCAGCGGGGTTGCAGTATAGGGCACACGGTGCAGTGGGGTGATAGAATTAGGACCTTGATGAGGCTAAATTAGCCCTACGTCCAACAAACTAGAGGCCTCTGCTGTAGCATGGCGTCTCTCTGGTTTAATCAGCATGGGCCCCACCCTGCTCCCAGTGAAGTCCCTGGCAAAGTGGCTATGGACCCTCTGGTACAGGATCAGGCCCAACACCTACAGCAGAGATGGGCTCTACACCCAGATCAAACTTCCTCCCAGCCTGCAGGGCTCAAATCTGGTGTCGGGGCAGAGATTCTGAATCACAGTTCGGGGCGTGGGGGAGGGGGATCAGTAGCTCCTAGTGTGGAGGGCGGTGGATGCTGGAGCAGCCCAGCCCTGTTGTATCAGAGTCTCCTGCCGCTGTTGGTTCTTCCTTTTAACCGGCGCACCAGCTCCTCTTCCCCCCGCCCCCATTTCCATGGGTCCACAGGCTGAGGCTTGGCTCACTGCCTATCAAGGACAGCATTAGCTTTCAAATGTTGTAGTTGATTTCTTGCACGTGGGAGCTGATTAGAGCAGATTTGAGTGTGAAATCCTGCTGTCCCCTGGGACAGCCGGCTCCTTGCCGGGGCCATGCTGTGTGCCATGCTCTGCCCTTGTGTTCTCGGAGCTGGGCCTGGCCTCAGGGCCCCAGATCCCAGGGGGAAGGGAAGTGCTGGGTCACCCCCATGCAGGATCATGGGGGGAAGGCGGAAGAGCCCGGCCTTCATTAGAAACTGGATCTGAGCACTGACACTGTGCATCTCTCGCAATAAAACCCCAGGGTCAGCCACTGCCGTTTCTGCTGCCCCAGTTCTGTGGCCTGTCTTTACCTGGGTGCAGCTAAGGAAAGTCTGGGGAGATTAGGTGTCTGGCTGACAGCAAGCTCGGGTCAGTCATTATCCGATGGCTGACGCAGAGACATCCCCCGTGCCCGCACTGCGTGGGGAGATGAGGGCACTGGCTGTGTGGAGCGCTGCCTGCCGTGCACAGTCCAAGTGGGTGAATCGGTTTCTGGATGCAGAAGCATGTGGAGGTGGAGTCCTTCTCGTGGACAATACAGGAGCTCCGGGATAGCCTCCTGGGTGCTCTGCAGAGACTCTGTGGCTGGGGAAGGCAGAGGCTGCAGATTAGGAGAAGTTTGTTTAAATGGTAGCTTGAAAAAAAAGTTTGCTCCCTTCACCACAGCCCCAGGTTTTGCTCGTAGGAGACTTCTGCAACTGGACATTTCTCTGTATCCATCTGAAATGTGCTGTATGGCGTGCGGCAGGAAGCCCAGCCGCTTCAGAAACGTTACACACAGCACAACTGAAATGCAGCCACCTCTGGGGAGAAGGCTGGCAGCTAACCTCCACATAGCGCCTTGTACAACACTATGGGGGCACCAAGGCACTCTGGCTAAGGCACTTCCGAAGGATGCCCTGGGGTCTCTAGTGTCCACACAGAGCAGATGGAATCTCACTTCTCGTGGCCAACGTTTTGCTGTGCCCAGTACGTGCTGGCGTCTGTCAGAGCAGGGTGAGCGTGTGCAGCTAGGCGAAGTCAGGCACTGTAGCACCCAATATGCAGGCTCTGGCTGGAGGGGGCTGCTGTGCCAGCCAAGTGACTGGGCTGGCTGACTTCTCCTTGGCTCAGCCTGTTGGTGGGCTGGACAGAGCAATCTTTGACCCTGACAGCCGATTGCCTTCATGCTGTATCTGTGCCAGGGAGTGGGGTCGGCAGGTGTCTTCTGAAGCCTGTAGCTGTCTGTATTGTGGTGGGGCCAGGCGCCTACCGCAAGTCAAGTTAAAGCAGCGTTGTGTGTGGCTGTTCATTCTCTCTTCCCCGCCCTGTCCACAGGCTCCGCCTTGGGCTGCTTCCACTGGTCGAAAGGAGTGAGGATCCGCGCCAGCCTGCGGCTCCTCCTGGAGTGGATGCGGGGCGTGGGCTTCGGGCACCTGGCCGAGCAGTTCTTCAGCAAGCTCTCCAGCGTGGCTCACCTGCTGGCCATGCCGAGCTCTCAGCTGGCGCAGGTGAGACGTGCATGGGCTTCTTGGCCCAGGGTGTTGATGGCCTTTGGGGACCAGACCCTCAAAGGCCTGTAGCCACCTAAATCCCATTGAATCCAATCAGATCCCTTGGAGGGTCTGGGCCTGCAAGTGGCAGGAGACTCTTGTGAGCATCATGGATGGGGACGTTTGGGAGGGCCAGTTATTAGATGGGGCTCCCCAAGCCAGCGCTCCCTACACTAACTGAGGGGTCATCTCCCCAAGGTAGGGAGCCCGAAGGAGCACAGTCTCTTTCGTATGCAGCTTCCCTCCCTTTTCCCGTTAGAAGCATCATGGGACATCAAAGGCCTGCCCATCAGAGCAGAGGGTGTGGGGGAATCAATGCCATTTCCCCGACACTGGGCCAAGATGGGAGATCCCTGAGGTAGGAGTGGAAGGCAGGGTTCCCTCCAGAAATGGCACTGGATCTGACGTGCCAGCATCAGACACAGGAAATCCCAGAGACTCGGGTCCATTTTGTGTGCTGGGTGAATCTGATCCATCCCTCAGAACGTGATGTCGCTCTCGGGCCAGGCTTTCAAACGCTGCCCCAGAGCATGCCCAGGCCTGCTGGCTCTGCATGCCGAACTGGGACAGCCAGCTTGGCATATGGGGACTAAGGGGCCGATTTGCGGGAATGTATTTGCTTAGAACATCCAGGCTATTTTCCAAAGCCAAACCTTGGGGGCACATCCTCTCGACCAACATCTGTGCCCATTTGGGTAGGAAGCAGCAGCGTGAGGCTGACTGATGGGAGCAGGTAGCATTTCAGGCTTTGTGTGTCTTACATCCTGTCCTTGGCTTCAGTAGGCAGCTCCCGTATTGGGAGTAGCAGCGCCGCAAATGCACAGCTGAGCGTCAGTGGTGCCCTGCCGCTGTGCTGCCGCCGTGCCTTCACTCCTGGGCTCTCCAGACCCCTTAGCATGCCGCTCACTTGCTGAAGCGCCATGCTGAGCTCATTCCCCGTTGATCAGACTGCTTCACTCCCTGCCATCTTCCCTGTGCACCGTCCTGAGGCCTTCACCCCAGCTCTCTCTTGCTTGCTCAGATGACCTGGCCATTGCTGAGAGCCGAGTTCCCCAGCCTGAGTCCTGCTCAGCTCCATCACATCCTGACTCAGTACCAGGCAGCGTCTGATGTGGGGTGTGTCGCGGCCTGGCAGCCCTGGCAGGACGACAGCCCTGCAGCCTTCAGGACAGGTGAGCGCACAGCGCTGGTGCGGCTGCGTTGCACTGATAGGGGTGTGATCTGTGCCCTCAGTAGCACTTGGGGTGTCCTGACTCTGGGTTGAGCCACTCCGATGCACTTCTGTGTATGCCAGGCCATGGGTGGGGGAAGCTAACAATGGGGTGGAATCAAAAGTCTTCCCCGACAGATACAGGGGACACGTGACTCGCCCGGTGGGTGAATGTTGGCTGTACCCCATGCTATCAATGCCATTAGCTATGGTATTTATATCCCCCCCTTACCATAGAGCCGAGCACCTTGCAGGCTTTAACGTTCTGACAGTACTCACCCTCATTGACCAGACAAGGCTCAGAGTGACTTTGACTCACCTGGGACAAGCGGTGGAGCAGGGCATCGCACCCAGCTCTCTGAAATCCCAGGCTGGCACCCTAACCACTAGACCATCCTTCCTCCACTAGCATGTACCCAGACATACTGGGCTGTGACATGGGAGGGGCTAAAGTGTGGGACGACTCAGCACTTTTCCCCAGCAGCATGATCTTGGCTACCGGAGAAGAGAGAGATCAGGACACGGTGAAGTGGGTGGAAACCGATCAAGGAGTGCGAGAGACTGGATTACGGCTCTTCTAGCAATAGCTACAGGGACTTGGGGGGATAGAGCCCAGAGCAGTGGATCTGAGAAGCTGCGGGACCCTTTTCTAAATGACACAGGGAGGGAAGGGGATAAAGGTTCTGAACAACCCATTCGAGAGTTTGGAACAAGCAAGGGGCACGACCCAGGGGAGCTAAGCAGAGCGAAGGCATTACCTAGCACCCTCTGGAGGCCAGTTGTGTGGGGTTGTGACCTAGAGGATGCTGGGATTGGTCCCCATGCAAATACTTTGCTTGCATGACCTGGGGAAGAGCAATGGCTCCACAGTCCGGGAGCAGGCCTGGGGCTCAGGTGAGTCACATATCAGCACCAGCTTCCCTCTGTGTTTTTCAGACGAAGTGCTGGAGTCCTTTGATAACCACCCGCCCATCGTCCTGCCAAGTGGAGGATTTAAGGTGGACTTGGAGGTGGAGACGCTGGATGATAATGTGTACCGGCATCTCCTGTACATCCGTCACTTCCTGTGGAGTCTGCGGAGCAAGAGCCCCCACGCAAGTGACTTGCCAGAGTCAGAGCCCCTGAAGGTAGCAATCACTGACCCAGGGAGAGCATTGTCCCTGCCAGCCCTCTCTGAGGGACATCATAGCTCCCCAGCCATCCTGCACAGATCTGCCACGATCTCACCTTCACCTCTGAGTCCCATGCTCTACCTGCCAGACCATACTGCCCCCAGCTGCTCCCTCCTCTTCGATCCACGCCGCCCCTGCTGCTCCCTCTGCTTTGATCCACGCCGCCCCTGCTGCTCCCTCTGCTTCGCGCTGCTCCCTCCGCTTCGATCCACGCCGCCCCTGCTGCTCCCTCTGCTTCGATCCACGCCGCCCCTGCTGCTCCCTCCGCTTCGATCCACGCTGCCCCTGCTGCTCCCTCCGCTTCGATCCCCGCCGCCCCTGCTGCTCCCTCCGCTTCGATCCACGCCGCCCCTGCTGCTCCCTCCGCTTCGATCCACGCTGCCCCTGCTGCTCCCTCCGCTTCGATCCA